CAGCCTTGGGGACATGACCAAACCCTGGGGAGTCTGTTCAGTGCCCCAGCACCCTCTGGGGAAAGAACCTTTCCCTGATATCCACCCTAAGCCTCCCCTGGCCCAGCTCCAGCCGTTCCCTGGGTGCTGTCCCTGTCCCGGGCAGCAGAGATTGGAGCTGCAGCCCCTGGTGAGGTCTGACTTCAATCTTCCCTTCTCCAGCTGAGCAAACCAAGTGCCCTCAGCCACTCTTTGTAGGGCCTCTCCAGACCCTTCCCCATGCTGTGTCCCTCCTTTGAACACTCTTTTTTGTATTGCAGTGACCAAAACTTCATACAATCTTTGAGGTGAGGCCATGCCAGTGCAGAGCAGAGAGGGATAATCCCCTCCCTGGCCCAAATGGCCATGCTGGGCCTGGTGCCCCCCCAGAACAGGCATGTCCCCCTTGGCTGCCAGGGCACTGCTGACTCATATCCAACTTTCCATCCACCCTGCAGCTCAGACTTGGAGACCTGCTTGCTCCATCAGCTTCTTTGGTTACAGGTTGGGGACAAGGGACAGTATTGGTTAATATGCACATTTGGGACATTCACAGTGCATATTTACTCTATTATAATGACAAATGTGAAAATATTGTCAGAAATACTTGTATAGCATCCTAATTTGAATTTGTTCATCCTGACTTCAAATTGATTTTGAAGTGTGGTCAGCTAAAAAGAGTTTTGTAATCCACATGAGAGTTCATTGAGAGCCTTGTGCAATATGGTTAGTAGCCATTATTTGCATTTTCTAAGTTACAGTGTCCCCTTACAATAACTTTATCAAATGAACCAGGTGAGGGTATATTTTAAGGATGTTTTCAGTTTAATTATCACTGTTGAAAGACATATCTCCATTAGCTTTGCACATACGTGGCAAAGAAAACTTAATCATGGACTGATTCATATTTTATGTAAGTGCTTCTAGTGTCAAGCTGGGTGAATTCAGGTTAGTTGTCTTTTTAGAAAGGCTGAGAGGTAAAATCCTTAAAACTTAGGAGGCAGAACATCCTGAGGCAGAACATCTTCATTTCTACAAACTGGGGTTCCACTACAGGATAGGGAAGGGAGATTCCACAATTAACAGGTTCCCAACTTGCAGCCAGGCTTTTCCCCTTCTGCTTCCCACTGCTCTTCCTGCCCCTCTCCTGGGCTGTGTTTCCTCTGCCCCATCCAGGTTGTCCCTGTGCCCAGCACTGCCGTGGCAGCACACGTGAAAAGATGGATTTTCCTTTGAGGGCTGCACTGTCCTGCACTTGTGTGGATTTCAGTGCCATTGTGAGCTCCTTCCCCACCTAAAAACAGAGCTCTTCTATCCCGGAGCACAAAGACCAAGCTGTTGTGGGGGGAGGATATCCACAAACTCGTAAATCTTCCTCCTTCTCCTGTTTATTCTTCGTGCCATTCAAGCCCGTTTAGCGAATGACCAATTAACTCCACATTCATGGCACATTCTGATGGGCCCGATTTCTCCTGAGGTGACACAACCAAATTTCTAAATACTTTCTAGTTAAATGCAGCATTTGGTTTTCCTTGCTCTTTAATTCATGGTTCCCAAACTGTTATTCAAGTTATTAAAAAAATTGGCAGGTTTTTTTCCTTTTTTTTCCCCTCTCCATTTTATCATCAGCAATATTGTAAAATATAGGGAAAATGTGTACCAAATTGAATTTCTTGTGCATCCAGGTTTTTTTTTATTATTGTGAGTAAAACTGTTTAAATATATTTGTCCTTCAATAACTATTCTGCTAGCTCTACATGGCACATCACTGCATATGGAAATTTACAGGAAGCAGGAGTTTATTTTCTATGGTAAAAACATGCTGCAAAAGTAATAACTTGTAAAATAACTCTAATTAGTGAGGAAAACACAATTTTAACTATGATATGGTATTCACTAAATCAAAGCCCAATACAAACTGAGGGGGAGATTCCAATAGTAAATGTCAGATCTGAATTATTTAACCATAATACAGAATAATAATGAACATCCCTACTGTATGTGGTTGCATTTTAAATCTAGTTGTGTGGAATTGAGGAGGATTAAGAGCAGTGACTCAATGAAAATTGACAAGTCGTAAGATTGAAAGTAAATTACATTAATAACTTTATTTTGATACCCCATTCTGGTGCCTGAATTGTATAAAAAATTCTATTTTGTGTTAAGTGGCAGGTCTGCAAAGAAACTGTGCATTAACCCCTGATATACATTGCTAGGATTAGGTACTGCATGGGCTTGTGTTCTTGAATAATGTATATACAAGGAGCGAGTCAAAACCGGAGTCCTAACAGGTAAGCTGTCAAACTCTGCAGCATCTTTTGTGATGCTTCTGTTTCCCTTCTCAGAAATTCTCTGTTTTCACAGTGTTGGGTGGGAGTTTTGTCTGAGAAGGATCAGTGCACACAGGACAGAGCTGTCTCACCTACCCCTGGTGGCACTTCCTGCAGGGCAGGGAATCAGTGACACCGTCCCATCACTGATGCCTCATTAACTGGGAGATCCTGCAGTCTGGAAGGAGCAGAGAACCTGCTCTGTCCCAGACAATGTGCAATATCATCTGTAACACTGGGCCACGTTTCTTACCCAGTGAAAAACAACATTAGAATTAGACATGTTTTTTATCAGCCACAAATGAGCTAAGCAGTAGGAACAGAATGATTCTAAATGCAGAGAAATATTTACCACTCGAAGGTCTGAAGAAATCAGCAGCGATAAAAAGGAAATACCACAAAGGGAATGCAAAACAGCTTAGTTGGGCTCTGAAAAACAAGTGAGTAGTCTTTAAATTTGCCTCTTTAAACTTGTCTGAATGTTTTTCTGTATTTTTGGGCTCTGGCCTAAGCGGGGGGTGGGGGTGGGGGGGTGGGGGAAGAAGAATAATGTAAATGCCAAAAGGAGCTGGACAAAAAGTAAGCTTTGTATCCTATCTATGAGAATCAGATGATGTGTGTCATGCAAGTTATTACAGTCACAGTCTACAGTCTTGCCCTGATGGGAATCAGATTTGACAGCAGCACAAAGCAGAGGTTTAACTGACAGCACACACAGCACATTTGCGAGTCATAACGCCACAGTTTAATGACTGACGCATGTGGGAAGCTAATTCGGATTTTTTTTTCTTGAATGGGATAAATGAGCATCCAGTTAATACCAATCATGAATTCAAGCCATGTGACAAAATTGATGCTACATACCCTGTTCTTGTTTTGCATATTCTGCAAACTGAGCTGCAGGAAAAGAGCCAGGAGAGAAAGTTCATCCTGCTTTCTGACACATCCACCAATTGCAGCTGAATGCATCCAGCTTGCTGCTGTTGTGTGTGGGGGAAGAAGAATAATGTAAATGCCAAAAGGAGCTGGACAAAAAGTAAGCTTTGTATCCTATCTATGAGAATCAGATGATGTGTGTCATGCAAGTTATTACAGTCACAGTCTACAGTCTTGCCCTGATGGGAATCAGATTTGACAGCAGCACAAAGCAGAGGTTTAACTGACAGCACACACAGCACATTTGCGAGTCATAACGCCACAGTTTAATGACTGACGCATGTGGGAAGCTAATTCGGATTTTTTTTTCTTGAATGGGATAAATGAGCATCCAGTTAATACCAATCATGAATTCAAGCCATGTGACAAAATTGATGCTACATACCCTGTTCTTGTTTTGCATATTCTGCAAACTGAGCTGCAGGAAAAGAGCCAGGAGAGAAAGTTCATCCTGCTTTCTGACACATCCACCAATTGCAGCTGAATGCATCCAGCTTGCTGCTGTTGTGTTCTCAAACTAATTACCCTTTCTCTGTTAAATAGCCTAAGAATTACAAATTGTATGCCTGTTTTGAGAAAAAGTACAGGTTGAACAAGCAGACATAGTATAAATAAAATATTTATATAAAAATAGTCTCTTACAAAATATACTCTCTTATCCTATGGTTGATTTTTCCAAAAGATGGAATTTTGTCTGGATTTTCTTATTTTTAGACATATTCCAAACAGGATTTTATTAATGTTTCTTGCTTTAATCGGAAAAAAAAAAAGAAAAAACAACAAATGCAAAACTGGTAAAGATTTGTAACCCCTACCACTCCACTTTTGTTCCAGACAACTAGCAGCAAACAGGAGGAAACAAAGAAACAAAAACCCCAAAATACAGTGTGTTTGTGTATATACATATATATAAAGATGCCAGCTTTTGTCCTAAACATCCAGTACTGTCGAACATATCCTGCAAGTCCAATTAATAGAAATATTCTAGTCAAGAATAATATGTACAGCTCCAGTGTTTCCTTGCTGATCCTACAAAATTATTCCACAAAGAAAGCCAGTTATCTACTTTAATTGCAGAATAGTTCCAGAAAGGTTGGTAAAGTTCTTCTTTTAATTAAATAAATTAATATTAGTTTTATCTGAATAAATTGTTAAATATTGTTATTATTATGCCCAAGTGTCCCAAATCCCTGTGCTAAAATCTGCAGCTCACACACACACGAGAAAGGCAGATAAAGCAGTGTCTACAGAACCCTTCCACAGTTCTTCTTGCTGCAGCAAGTGCTGTGAAGAGGAAAGATGGGCAAGACCAGTAGAAGCTTTTCATGAGTGTGGAAGCCTAAATCTGTGTTATCCACACGCTCCCACGGGCAATTTATGGGGAGGCTCTGTCCATCCCATCCTGTGCAAAGCCCTTTTGTAGGGATTTCTCCCCTACCCCTCCCTGCTCCTCGTACGCAGAGGTGTTTGACCATCCCTTTCCCAAACCAAGAGTTCATTGCCACACCCAGAGATTCCTCCCTGGCCGGTGTCTCTCCGCAAGGCAGCCAGTGCTCCTTCCTCCCAAGGGGCAGGCTCACTGAGATGATCCTTTTCTCTCTCTTTCATGTCTCTGGTGATCCGGGGAGGGGTTTGCTTGTTTTTGTTTCTTGGCTGACTTTATAAGAGTCTGAAATGTGTATCCACATCAGCAACAAACACGAGGAGAGAAGAGAGGGCTCCGTTTGTGAGCATCTCTTCAGGGAGAGCAGCTCTTCCCGCAGTTCCGCTCAGCTACGTCGACTGCATGTGCAAATGTATCCAGGCCGGGGAGCGGCCAGGGCAGGCGCTCACTTACAGGTGTACACCTCTGTCCTCTCGCTGCACGTGTTGCATTTCACGTAGCAGCACCAGTGGAACTTGCAGTTGCACTGCCACACCCTGGAGTACTGGTGGGTGTTGTAGCCGCGGCCGCAGCACATCAGGTCGCAGCCGTTGGACTGCTGCGCCGTCTTGTTGCACATCCTGCCCTGCGTGCCCACGCTGCCCGTCACCGGGTCCTCCTCGCAGTAGTTGGGGGATTTCTCGATGTACACCAAGTCTGTGTCCATGGGTTTGCGGTAGGAAAGGGGCTTCTTGATCTTGAGGAAGGTGGGGCGCTTGTTGCGGCTGGCCCTGACGGGCTCCACCTGCACGGCCTCATTGTACTTGTCCTTGAGGATGTAGCCCAGCTCCCGGAACTTGGGCAGCGTTGTCCAGCAGGTTTTAGTGGTGCAGGACCCCGAGACCCCGTGGCACTTGCACTCTAACTTCATGTTTTCCTCCAGGATCTGTGGTTAGAAGAACAAAGAAGGATGCATTAATAACAGGGCTGTTAGATGGACTCAGGGATGGGTTGGTTCTGCACTGGGAGCTGCCACCACACGCAGGTCATGCTGCTGTCCCATGCAGCAAATGCTCATCACTTTGACCCAGTTCTGCCTGCAGAGCTGATTCCCCTTCTGCACTGTGAGTTCAGCAGGGAGGACAACTCTGCCTGACTGCACAGCTGAGGGACCAAAGCTGGGATGGGCCCCTCCTCAGACACAGCTTTTCTTCAACAGGATTGCCCAGTGCCCGACATTTTCCTTTTGAAGTTAACAAGCCTCATCTTCCCTTCTGCCTTCACATCCCCTGAAACTCTGTCCCTGTATCTTCTCCTGCTGCTTACCAGCCCAGTCATTGCCAAATAAAACTGGAGTCCAGCTTAGTCCCTGCTCTGAGTCCTGGGCCCTGCAGCTGACCCCAAGCAGCAGTGACGTTGGGATAACACAAGCAAACACACCTAATTCCAGCAATTAATTTCCCTCTTCTTTTACTTGAAAGAGGCCACAATAATTTTGATGATGAAACTCCGCCTAACCTGGCAGAGCCCAGCAGTGGAAAGCCCAGCCAGAGGGATTATCAGGGCTCAGGGAGTGGTCACATCATTTTTCCCCTGAGAAACCCAGCTGATGCATGCAGCTCCAAAACTGGTCAGTGATATGGAAATTGGAATTAACCCTTTGTTACGGCCTCTCCCTTCAGTTTGGGGTGTTGGAAACAGCAGACACTGTCACTGGCCATTTCCAGCAGAAAGCAGCAGCCTGCACTGAAGGAGCAAGTCCATCTCCTAGGCTGGACATGTGTGGGGACCTCAAGCCTAAACCCTCCATGTGAGTTGGGGGTGGCAAGGACAGAGCACTGACCTAGAGGAAGATGTCCCTGCCCACGGAACGAGGGTCAGAATTAGATGATCTTTAAGATCTCTTTCCATGCAAATCATTCCGTGGTTCATGATTTTTTGATTCTATGAAATGGCTTTGTTTTTATTTTAGTCTATGAGCAGATTGTCAGCACATGTGGTCTGAAGACAGGATCACAACTCCCAAAAACACAGGTCCAAGCCTTTGACACAAGTGAACTCAGCACATGCTAGGTCACATTTTGTGCTACTGGTTTTAAATCAGCTTCTCATGCAAACTATCTAATGACTGCCCTAAAACTCAGATGTGAGAAAATTCCATATTCTGATCTACATCTTAACTTCTGCTCAAGCTTTGGCTTTATCTTGTTATCTTGAGTTTCCCTCTCAGCCACTGCATACTTCTTTTATTGCTCACTCATTCATAAGGCAGGACACTTGGAAGATAGATGAGGAGATGGAAAAGGAGTTATAGCACAGAAACCGGAAAAATAACATAAATTCCTTTAGTCTCATTTGTACCTTTTTAAAAGCTCTCTTTTTGGAAATTGAAACTAGCCAGGGATGCATTTCTCAGCCCTAATTCAATCACTGCTCTTGCAGAATGGGCTGGCCTTACATCCTGGTACGATGTTCAAACTTGCAACAAAATATTTCCAATCTGCCAGGGGGATCCGCCAAATTGGCTTGGAACATTAACACAAAACACATCATGTGCCATCTATCCAGGCAGGGTTTTTGCCCTGAAGTGCAGTTAAGTAGCCTAAATTGCCTTTTGGTTTATTTCATTACCATCCCATTTAGAGCCAGCAGTCTCTGAGGGATGGGGGATCCTTGGGAAGGGATGGGGTATCCTCAGGAAGGGATGGGGGCTCCTTGGGAAGGGATGGGGGCTCCTCGGGAAGGGATGGGGGCTCCTTGGGGCAGCCCCCTGTCCTGGGCCAGGCTCCTGCCCAGCCACAGTGCCCCAGGACAGCCAGGCCCTGCTCTGCAGCTCTCAGCCAAGCCTGGCCACGGGCACTCAGGGTTAAAAGGGCTGCTTTTGCCTGGACAGAAAGCAACACCAGCTGAGCTCCAGTGCCAGGGGTCCTTCCTAGAGGTCCAAAAACACCTGGAAGGGGATGGGAAGGAACAGAGGGATGAGAAAGTTCTGCTTTATTGTTCTCTCTCCCATTTATTGTTTCAGTATTTTCCTAAGGTTTACTGGCTGCCTCTCCCTTTTTCTCTGCTTTTGTCAGAGGTGCCAGAGGTTCCAAACTCTGTGCTGGAATCTCTCTGGCACATCTGCCTCATTTGTGTCCCCTGCCCTCTGCAGCTGAGCTGTCCTCTCCAGACCTGCCTCCTCTAACCCAGCCTCTCCTCCTGTGCCTCATAACCCCTTTTGTTGCCTCTGTTCTTGCACACAAATCCATCCTCCTCTCTGGGCCTTCAGGGCTGTGTCCTGCAAATTCAGCAAGGCCGAATTGGCTCCCCAGCCTGTAGAAATGAGGCTACATGGAACTTGAACTGTCTGGCCTCAGCAAAAGCAAACCCAGCAGTGGTGATTTGATGGTTCTGTTGTACTCTCATAGCAGGTGCTTGCACTATTTGTTTTACATTAAAATATATGGATGGTGGCATTTTAATACTATTACGTTATTCCAATACCCTCTGCTGAATCAGTGCCAGTGATATGAGATTCTTTGGGTAGGGACACAGACCACAGTCTTTCCTTGGTTTCTGTGAGCCAAAAGCAGCGCCCTTCCCTTAAAAACTTGGTCTGTGTTAAAACCAGAAAGCATTCTTCACCTTGTATTTCAGGATTTTTTTCTTTGAAGGAATTATCCAGCAGCTCATACTTTTTACATCAGATTTAAACTTTAGGTGCATTACAGACTGACTTTTCCTAAAATGTAACAGCCTGGAGGGCACAAAATGTCAATCCCAGATCCCATGTTTCTCACCAAATGACCACATCCAGCACCACCCGCTATGGGAAGTAAATCTGTATGCACCAGTGGGTGCTCTGATCTGGATTAAATGCAGACAAAGAGCTGGAGTTCTTTTAGCTTTGTCCACTTTTTCTTTGAGCTCCTAGAGCAAACTGTCAGTACTTGTTTCTCCCTCTGTCTCCCTCTGTCATTTACCTCTGGGAAATAGTTTGTGTGGGGAGAGCTGGGCTGGCTCTCCCTGCTGATGTTATCTCTAGATGCAGCATCTTTGGGCACTGCTATTGGGAGCACAAAGTGTTTGCTCTCCCCCTTTAGCTTTCCAGGGAACGTGTGGAGTTGGCCATGGGAGGGTGGCAGCAGCAGCCCAGGAGCTGCAGAGGCTGTTCCAGCTCCATGGCCCTGGAGCCTGGCTGGGGCTGTTCCAGCCCCATGGTCCTGGAGCCTGGCTGGGGCTGTTTCAGTTTCATGGTCCTGGAGCCTGGCTGGGGCTGTTTCAGTTTCATGGTCCTGGAGCCTGGCTGGGGCTGTTCCAGCTCCGTGGCCCTGGAGCCTGGCTGGGGAAGGCTCAGCCAGGGCTCCTGGCTGTCCCACCCTGCTGGGGGGCACATGGAGAGCTGGTTTGTGCCTGGCATGCTCAGACACAGCACTCACACCCTCACAGGGCTTTTCTCAGCCCGGAGTCTGTCCCGAGTCTCTCAGTGGTGTGTCCTGGGCTCCTAGCACCAAAGCAGCTGAGTTGCCCAAGGACCCCACACAGGGGGTCAGGGACAGCCCAGCCTCAGCTCAGCCAGAGCTCTGCAGCTCTTGATGCCAAAGCTGTGCTGAAGGACCTGCATCTCAAACCTGGAGACCATCCCACATCCAGATCATCCCCCCTCCAGCAGGATTCCCATGGGAATGGGATCAATGCAGGGCCAGGCACGCTGCAGTGCTGCAGCCAGCCCCAGGCTGCTTCTGCAGCCCAGGTAATTAGTGAGACACTGACTCCTGCCCACCAAGGCCATGGTCTTGCCTAATTTTTTCTGACATCAGATCACCTGGGTCAGGAATTCCTGTCTCCTGCAAATGTCTGCACACACACACCTTCACTAAAGGTTAAGGAAAGTGTAAGTATTGGCAAAATTAGTGAGATTTTCACTCCAGAGAAGAACATGGCAGGGCTTGGAGAAAGGCCACAACATTTCTGTGGGCTGGGGAGGGCCATGGGGAGGTGCCCCTTTCAGCTGGTGGAAGGTGAGGATTGATGATTTATATTATTACAGAGGCAATTGTAGCTCCTTAAATAAGACAAAGCACCTCAAACTTTGGGAATAATGTTGAGATACATTTGTTTTGCTATTGGAAAGATTCATTGAATAAAAAGAATGTTTTAAGCTAATAAAATGAAAACATGTCATATTTAGTCTTTCAACAAAATAACGTGAGAACCAAATCATGTAGAGTGGGACCAAGAATTGGAAAGGGCACTGAGTGGATGTGTAGCACTGACTCGACAGACAGCAAAAGGACTATGTCTCTTAAAGTTATTAAGAAATGTCTCTGCCACTTGTTTTATCCAAGTGTGAGATTAATCTCAAAAGGATGCTACTGTTGAAGTAACTTGCAGGACTGTTCTAGCACCAAAGATCTGAAATCTGAGGGCAGTACAAGTAATATCTGGTGCTTTTTTGATTGGAAAAAAAAAAGAACAAGAGAGACTGCAAAAAAAGAAACCCTGCTGTCAGAAACAAATCCTATGGAATATTTAAGAAATGTGAGAAACTGCATAAAAGCCACTCAAATGCAAGTTTAAAATTAGCAAAGGCGAACTTAAACAGAAAAGATGGAAAATATTCCCATCAGTGGATGGTCACTAATTATATACACAGAGCTGCTGTCAGCTGTCTTCTGTAGGAGCACATTTTGCACTATCTCCTCTGGCAAACTGACTGGGATGAGCTTGGAAAGGATTGTGTCCCACAGAGTGACTCATTCCAAATAGGCTTTGATACCTCATTTGAACATCTTATGAAGATCTTATTAAGCACAGCCAAAAGATGTTTTTTCTCATGTTTTTGATAAGTAAATCTGTGCAAAAGAATATCTGAAGTCAGTATCAAACAACTTTGCTCCTGAACACCATGAGCTGTGACTATCCCAGAAATCCTGCTACCCCAGGCAGGCTGAACCCTTTTTC